GCGAGCCGCGGGGCCCGCGCAGCCCCGGCCGGCGCCCACCATGCGGCGGCTGCGGCGCCTGGCGCACCTGGTGGTCTTCTGCCCCTTCTCCAAGGGCTTGCAGGTAAGCGCCGCGCCCCTCCCGGCCCGCCGCGCGGACTGGGCCGCTTCTGGGGGTGGGGGAAGGCGGTGTCCAGCCCCGGGGGTGGGGCCGAGCGCGGAGAGTGGGCCTGATTCAGGACACAAAGTGTTAAGGAGCGTAGGTGGGGAGGGGGTGGCGCCTGGGGGGAGGTTGGGGGCTTGGAGAGGACTAAGGAGGAGGGGAGGGCTGGGGATGAGATGGGCAAGGCTGATGCTGAGGGCTGGCTGCCTCCTCCCTACCCAGCCCTCCCTTGGTTCTGACCCTGCTTCCCGGAGTCCAGAAGCCGCACCAAAGTCTTTTCCTCTTCTCTACTTAAAAAACAAGGTTTGTTTTTCTTTTGTAAAAACCTGGACACATAGAAACGCCCTAGGAAGGACATGACCTCCCCTGGGTCATCCCATCAGCCAGGCATAAAGTAGAGACCATGCCCTGATCCCAGGGTGACCTTGGACCAATCACCATCTACCAGAAAAACCTAAGCTGCCTTGGGTTTAGCAGCCAGGAACTCTTTCACCTTCTGCTTTGAGGAGGTCTGGCCAGGCGGCCTCAGACATCAAGAAACCCTCCCTCCCACCCCCACGTCCTCCCAGGTCCTCGAGGAGGTCAGGGTGGCCCTACCTCCCTAGCCTCCCTCCCTGGAGGATCCTTGCCTAGAGCCTGGCCCGCCTCAGCTCCCTTTCTAGGCAGTGGGCTTGGAGGGGGAAACTCACAGGTTGCACTGTGATCCCCTGATCCTAGACACTCTTGTCTGCCTTGAGCCTTAGGGTGCAGTAGTCCCAGCTCAGCCCTGGGCAAGGTGGGAGCTGAGGGGTTGAAAGACTACTCCCTAGGCCAGAAGGTGGAGGCCCCGCAGCAGTCAGGGACAGCTCCTGGGGAAGGGCTAGGTAAGACCTGGGGGAGCAGCCACAGTCCAGATGGGTCTGGCTGGGCTGGTCCCTACAGGCAGCTTCTAGTTCTGGGTCACTTTATCCAACCCAGTCAAACCTGGGGTCCAGCATTGGCCACAGCCTGCTTACTTCCTGGCTGTCCCCTAGATTCCCAGACTGTGGTGGCCCTCCCCACTCAGCCTGCCTCCGGTGTGCTCCCTCAGACAGGCTAGCCGGAAGTCCTCTGACCTTATCCTGCCAAAACAGCCACTGCCCCTGCCCCTGTCCCCACCATTTCTCTGCTTTCCTGTTTTTTGTTTTGGACAAATATGACGGAAACAGATGCACTGCCAGGGACAAGTGGGCCCGAGGGGATGGAGGCCCAGCCTGGGCCATGGACATCTTTAATGCAGCTGCCCACCCTCTACCAGCTCCCTGGACTCCTCCAGACCAGACCCTCCTGGGTGGCTCCCCAGTGAGTTGGTGCCAGGGAAGCAGGAGGGAGAGGTCCACCTCTCTTGGAAGAGCATAAAAATGACCCAGCTGCTGGGTTAAGCCTTGTCCTTGGTAGGAAGCTAGTGGCCCCATTTCTCTAAGGAGGCTCCTGCCACAACCCTGATCTCAAGAGGACTGAACACAGCTGGTGCCTACGCCTACAGCTTCTGACTGGGGCTGTTGAGGGTGTTGCCAGGAGGGCCTGGGATGGGGCATGGCTGGGTTCATTGGTGCAGCCCCTCCCTGGCAGCAGTGGAGAGGAGGCCACAGGGGGTGCTTGATGCCAGCAGCAGGGCCTCCTCTAGGGGGGAGGCTGGCCCCCAAGTCCTGGGCCTTCCTGCTCTCAACTGTGGGTCAGAGATGTCTCAGCACCTGCTTGGGACAAGCCACCTGGTAACGCAGTCCCTTCTGCTGGCTGTTCCCAGACAGCACCTTGTCAGGGCTGCAGTTTGCTAGGGCAGAGTGTTGGGAAGCGAGGTCATACCCACCTGTCCCTTGCTGTCACCCTTGGAAACCTGGCTGGGAGAGCTGGATAGGACACTGTGCCCCCAAAACTTGATCCTCACACCTGTGAGTCTACTTGCTGGCAGGGTAAACCAAGGCAGAGGGCTTGAGGTTGGCAGAGTAAGCTGGAGCCCTCTGTAACAGCCCAACATTGGGGTTAGATCCTTGGGCTGTGGGGCCAGGGGCTGGTTATATTTTATTAATTGTGGTAAAATACACATAATATAAAATTTATCATCTTAACTTTTTTTTTTGCTGTTTTTGGCTGGGACTGGGTTTGAACCTGCCACTTCCGGCATAAGGGGCCAGCACCCTACTCCTTTGAGCTACAGGCACTGCCTTTTTTTTTTTTTTTGAGATAGAGTCTCACTATGTCACCTGGGTAGAGTGCCATGGTGTCACAGCTCACAGCAACCTCCAACTCTTGGGCTTAAGTTTCTTTTGCCTTAGCCTCCCAAGTAGCTGGAGTCCCACACACGTCAGCCACAACGCCCAGCTATTTCTTTTGTTGTAGTTGTCATGGTTGTTTAGCAGGCCCGGGCTGGGTTCAAACCCACCTGCCTTGGTGGATGTGGCCGCCACCCTAACCACTGAGTTACGGGTGCCGAGCCTGATCTTAACTATTTTTATATGTGCATTGATATTGTTCTGCCACCACCACTGTACACCACTGAACTTTCCATCATCCCAGCCTGCCACTCTGTCCCCCTAAAACTCTGACTCCTCTAACCAACCCCCACCGACCAGCACCCACCTTTCTTCCTGTCTCAGTGGACTTGACGACTTGGGGCCTCAGATAAGTGGGATCTGACTGGCACGTTTCACTAAGATGATGTTCTCAAGGGTCATCCCTGTCATGGCCTCTGTCCCTCCTCTCAAGGCTAGACACAGTCCACTGTGTGGAGAGCCATACTGTGTGCATCCTCCTGCTTCCCACCCTCCATGGTGCACTGGGAAAGGCAATGTCCCTTCAGATAGGTGGGCTCTCCACAGCCCTCAGGTGTGCTCATCTGACCTGTGCAGAGGTGAAAATGTTATGAAAGTCCAGCAAGGCAGCAAGGGGTTTCATTGAAGTATCTTTATTCAGCAAAATAAAGAATTGGCCACTCTCTATTTCCCTCATTTTGAAATTTATTTTTACCTGCCTGTGAAATTGAAAGTCTGGGAGGCACCAGCCTGCAGCTGCAGGCCCAGCTGTGGGCACATGGCAGGAGGGAGTTGCTGAGCTAGCGGTGGGTATGGTGCTGAAAGCTAGAGGGGCACTGGTGGCTCCTTATCAGTGAGACTGGGGCCTCTAGTGAGGGCCACTGATGACGCTTCCTCACAAGGCTCCCTTGCGCAGGGGCGGCTCCCGGGCCTCAGACTCAAGTCTGTCTTCCTGGTCTGGCTGGGCATCTTGGTGGGCAGCTGGATGGTGTACCTGCACTACTCGTCCTACTCGGAGCTCTGCCGCGGCCGCGTCTGCCAGGTGGTCATTGTAAGTGTCACCCAGGTGTTTCGGGTGAGATGTGCACGAAGCAGGGAGGTGCTTTCCTCCCGGGCCCACAGCCAGGTGGAACCTGCGCCCCAAAGAGCAGCCTCTGGCTGGTCTAGAGGGTCAGGGGTCAGGGCCAGGGGAGCTGGCAGACAGCAGGGACTGCTACAGGTGCCCAGGAGAGCATAGGCAGCTGGGACAGGCTAGTGCCCAGGGACAGGGTGGGCTCCAGACACATTTTAGGAGGGGGGTTGGGACGGGTAGTTAGCCTTACTACCGCAGACTGGAAGACCCTGTGTACTTCCCTGATGGCCTTGAGGGCTCCTCCTGGGGCCAGGGGCCACCAGAGCAGTGTAGGGTGTGGCCTTCCGGAGCCTTCCCCCCTTGTGCGCGTGAGGATGTGCACATGTGAGGCGAACACGCCTGTGAGTGTGTGAACAAACTCCTCTGCACACCCTGTGACCGGCTGGGGAGAGGGAGCGCCAGCTCTGCTCTCCTGGAAAACCCTAGATGCACCCAGAACCAGTCAGACCCCCATAGCCATCTTGATGCTCCACCCCCGCCTGTCCTGCCCAGCAGCCAGAGCCCTGGAAAGGCCAATGGCCCGGTTCTGATGCCTCCACTCTCTCTGCAATAGGAACTTTTGGGGTGTTGAGAGGCACCTTTCCCAGGTGTCTGTGTGGCCACTGAAGCCACAGGAGGGCTCCTCAGGGCTTGCTCTGGCCACTGACTCTGGCTCCTGAGGGCCTGGGTCCTGCAGAGGCCTGACAGGGGTGGCTGTGGGGGAGGAGGAATGAGGGGGCACAGGTGGGCAGACCCCATGAAACAGAACTTCCCAGGACCTAGCTGGTCGTGGGGGACTGCTACTAGCTCTGGAGCTCCCTGCCTCTGAGCACTGGCTACTAAGTACCTTCCAGGGCAGGCCACATCGCCTGGGAGCCCATCTGTCCCATTGGGGATGCCTTGGTCCATCTCATAAGTGCTCAGCTGTGGCCTGTGGGGCATCAAGCCTAAGTTGGGGGAACACAGCCCTGCACCACAGTCCAGGAGCTTCTGAGCAAGATAGGAGTAATGCGCACTGGGCCCAGGGCCACAGGTGAAGGCTTCAGGGTACACTGTGAATGGACACACCACAGACGGGACTGCAGCCTTGGGACCAAGGGGGTGAGGGTCAGGCTCCAGGCAGTGGGTGATGAGAGGAGAGCAGGGAGTTAGGGTATCAGTGTTCCGAGCACCTACTGGAGGAACAGGAGGAGCCTGCAGCTTCCCAGCCCTCTGCCCAGCAGGAGTGTCCCTGGGCTGATCTTCCCAAAGATCATTGCCAAGCCTGGCTCTATAAAGCCTGTCCCCTGGGGCCATAGGGATGTCCCTTCCTTTCCTGCCTGCCTCATGGGGGCAGTGCCAGGGTCACAGCTCATGTGCTAGCAAGACTGGAAGGTGGCTTGGCGCCTGTGGCTCAAGTGACTAAGGCGCCAACCACGTACAAAAAAAAAGAAAGTAGCCAGGCATTGTGGTGGGCGCCTGTAGTCCCAGCTACTTGGGAGGCTGAGGCGGGAGACTCGCTTGAGCCCAGGAGTTGGAGGTTGCTGTGAGCTGTGATGCCATAGCATTCTACGCAGGGGGACAGCTTGAGGCTCTGTTTCAAAAAAAAAAAAAAAAAAAAGACTGGGAGGTGAGGGGACTTGCCTAGGACCTGATGACAGCTCCTGTAGCCCTGGTGACGTGCAGGGAAGGTGCTGGGACAGTGATGGGGTCTCACCTGGAGCCCTGGCTCCCAGCCTGGTGGTGGGCCATGGGCCTGTACATGGTATGTCCCCAGCCTCTTTCCCCCAGGCCCTGGTGCTCTGGTGGTTCAGGTATAGAGCAAAAGCCTCTAAAAGCATTGGTGGGGGTTCCAGGAAGACTCCTGGTACTAAAAACCCTGCCTGTAAGGTGTGGGTTGATCCTAGTTGCCCTTTTCTGTCTTGAAAGCTATTCTCCTGCTTCCATAGGACAGGCACTGCCTTCCTGATTCACATGCCTAAGTCTACAGCTTCTGGCTGGCTTCTGGCTGGCTCAGTCTTATTTTTGTTCTCCTCCCTGGTGTCCCATTGCCCTATTCTAGGACAGGGATGCTCTGCACAGCCTACCCCTGCTTCCTCAGAGCCTGGCTGGTAGGCCATACTCCATGGCAACAGGAGTCCCACATCCAGGAGCCGCTCCAGGCCCCTGAGAGGGAATGGCAAACTCCAGAGCTGCTCACCTCTGGCTCCCTGCCTTCCCTTGGGATTGAGGGCTGCAAGGCCCTGTCTGGAGCAGGGTGGGGCCTGATTTAATTACTGCCACTGGTGTCTCCCTGCTTGGCTGCCTAATGAGGGGCAGCCTGGCAGGAAGGACTGGGCTGGGAGTAATTGTCAGGCCCCAGGGTGCTGTCTTCAGAGCTGATAGTGACAAATTGCCACATGGATGCCTTAGGGGTTGGGAGTAGTCATAGATGAGGTGGAGGCTGGGGACAGATAGGCTCTGGCTCCCCTGGCAACAGCCTCTCCATTTGGGGGGCCCTGCAGACTGGCCAGGCAGGGAGTCGTGCCCTGACTGCACTTCGGGCAGGACACCATTATGGGGCCTGCATCCAGGACACATGGAAGGAGGGACTAGGTCCCTGGGAAGAGAGACGTGAGAACCTGTTCAGTAGCAGTCATGTTGGGGAGAAGCTTGGCACCAGTAGCTGTCCTGAGAGCCCTGGCCAGACTAGGGTCCCAGTACCACAGTGGCTGCAGCCCTGTCTGGCCAAACATGGTGTTATATTGTGCCTTTCACAGGATGCTTGTTTTACCTGGTGGACAGCCTAATGCCTAGCTGTCCCACCGTGACCACGGCCCCTTACTTAGGAAGACTGCTTACACTGAAGGGTACCCTCTGCTCATGTGATCTGCATCCGGCTTGTGCCTGCTGACCATGTCTCTGGCACTGGGAGCCTGCCCCATGTTCTTTTGATGGAAGGTGCCAATTCAGTACATGAGAGGCTGGAAGGAACAGTTAGGGGTTGGGGAGGGGGGTGAGTCACACAATGCAATGCATGTAATCCCCTGGCTCACTGTAGGTTCGAAGGCCAATGCCTGAATCGTCCAGAGCCAGCCTGCTAGGCTTGAGAGGTGCCTCTAAGTCAGGTGTCCTCAAACTGCGGCCTGCCTAGGACATTTTTCTGGCCCTCTGGGTGTTTTTGCTGCTGCTGCCTGTCCTGCTTAGCAGCCAACTCATCCCAGGGCCCACAGTCAGGCCCTCCAACGGTCTGAGGGACAGTGAACTGGTCCCCTGTTTAAAAAGTTCGAAGGCTCGGCGCCCGTGGCTCAAGTGGCTTAAGGAGCCAGCCACATATACCTAAGGTGGCAGGTTTAAATCCAGCCCGGGCC